ACCTACCTACCTACCTACCTACCTACCTACCTACCTACCTACCTACCTACCTACCTACCTACCTACCTACCTACCAACCAACCAACCAACCAACCAACCATCCATCCATCCATTATTTATCCATCCATTATTTATCCAGGGTTACTTACCAACCATTATTTATCCAGGCAAGCCCCGTTGAGATCTCAGATCTCTTTTTCAAGGCAACCTTTTATACATTTTTAACTTTTAGTCACAAATTCGTTGATTTTTGTTGCTTTTTTATTTGAGATTTGGGGACACACGTTTGTTAATCTTGACTTTTTGATGATTTTAGCTTTTAGTTACAGTTTAGCTAATATTTGCTTTAGATTATAACTAAGATAATTGTAACTTTTAGTTGCATTGTTAATTTCAGATTTTAGCTTTAAGTGTACTTGCAGGTAACATGTTGTCATGTGAAGCTTTTAGCCACAGTTTTGCTTTTTGCCGTGTTTTGCTGATTTACCTGCAGTTTTTCTTACTTTAATTTTAGCACCGTTTTGCTGATTTTAGCTTTTAGTTACAGTTTTTGCAAATTTTAGCRTTTTTTTTGCCACAGTTTAGATGATTTAGCTCCTGTACTGCTTGTTTTAACTTTAATATTCATTTAACAACAAAAGAATTAAATCTAAAATTGGGTGAAGAGTTGAAGTCAGTGGATCAATCCAAATAGATTAGTTGGAATGTTCTGAAAACTAAATGTTTTGTTTTTGGGTTGGATTAAAAAAAATCAAATTTCAAACTCCTGTTGAGCAGGTAGAGGCTAAGCTCCTTGGCCTCTTAGATAGCACATTATCACTGATAGAACAAATGTAAGATTGATTTGAAATTTAATGACGTTTTCTTCATACTTTACATTTTCGCAGCTCCTCCATTCTCACCGTAATCGAAAGCAGTTTGGTTTTTTGGAGTATTCTGGGGCAGGCGAGCACTCGGCTCCTGTCAGGTTTAATGGGAGTCCACAGGCAGAGCTCTGCAGGGACAAAGTGCTCATTAGTCACATCTCCACCTGATCCAGATCACATTTCTAACGTCTCTGTGCTTACTCGCAGCGTGTCTTTTCTGTCCTGGAAGAAGCACAAGGTGTGTCTGTGGAGGACAGTGTGGAAGGAGTTCCAGCCTCTGGAGGCTGCCTGTGAAAACAAGATAAGAGTGCTGACTCGGCGCTTCATGTTTGCTGACTGCACGGGCTCAGACCCTCCTTACTTTCTTTCCTCCCAGCTGCAGRTTGTGTTTCCTCTCAAGGGTTCCCTCCATGGACTGCAGTTCAGGTTTTCCACTCTGAATGAGGACGAGCGAAAGAAAAACACATTCATGCAAAAAGAACAACCCATTGAATTAACAGATTTTCATCCATGTTTGAGTTGTCTGACCAAAATGAAACAGCGCCCCCCTGTGGTCTTCTGCTCCTGCTGCTTCTCCAGGTTTTGCTGATCCAAACAGACAGAKAGATTTATTGACTGGTCCTGTTTAAAAAGAGAAGATTCACATTTTAACATAATACTTTTAGTTGTGTTGCTTTTAATAAACACATTAATTAATACAGATCGAAGTCTTTACAACAGATTATATATTTTTACTGAATCTTTTATTTATTTATTTATTTATTTATTTATTTATTGTTACTGCATTATTAAGGGATGAACAACTGAAKTGCAGCTGCAAATTTTTCTTATTTGTTTTGAATTAGGTAAAACAAAAAAACATTTAAAAACTTTTATATAATAATGCCATTTGGGGCACAGCTAAACAAAATGTTAGCTTCACTAATGCTAAACCACTAAACATGTAAATAACACTAATGCTAAAAAAAAATAGTGAAATCTAACCCTAATAGCTAATCGCTAACCACTAGAAAACTGATAAACCACTAACTAKAAATATAGCTTTGCTAACACTAAACTGCTAAACATGTTTAATAAGCTAACCGCTAACAAAAATCTATAGCTTCGGTAATGCTAAACTGATAAATGTAAAAATTTTTACAGAAGCTAATGCTAAACAGCTAAGCAAGTACAAAGTAGCAGTAGCTAACACTAACTAATCGCTAACCACTATGAACCTCATAATCTGTTAACTAAACATTAGTTCTGCTATTAGATTTGAGCTCATTAGTTGAACCAATGAAATGTAAAACGTAAAGTTTTCAGTCTTTTACAACAACAAAGCTGACTMTTTAAAACTTTTATATATACTTCTGTACACAAAAATGAAATCAACATGAAATCACAAAACAACTCATTACTATAATTTAAACCACACCTTTAAGCAKCCTGTGAGCTCTTCCTCCTCCTCCTCTTCCTCCTCTCTGTACTGATAAATGTATCTGGGATTTTCCCCCACATCTGGCAGCTTCACAGTGTCGGACGCCGTCTCGTTCATCACCACTGAGCTCTGACTGGATGGTTCCCTGTTGGGAAAAGCAGCCCAAGATCTTCTCTCTCCTCCGGCCCGAGGAGGAAGGAGATCTTCGTCACTCTGAACGTGAGACGGCAGTTTGAACTCTGCTATAAAGAGGTTTGGTGCTGAGGCCGTGACCAGGTTTCTGTAAAGCACCGGTTGGTTTGTTGRTGTTGTGGACGAGCAGCAAAGTGTCTTATCGCTTTGGTCCGACACCATCAGATCCTCCTGGTTGTGCTGGTACATGATATCTGAGCAGATGCTCTGCCTGTAGCTCGGAGTCCGGTTCCAGATGTCCTSCAGCTCTTCTTCCTCTTCCTGAAACTGCTGGTGATCGAGGCGAACTGGATCTGCTGCTTCTTGGGTCGTTGCATCATTTTCTCTGGTTTTAGAACAGTCTATCCCTCCCAGTTCAAGAGAAACCAGCCGCCCCACAACTCCTTTGGGTCGCAGGTGGTCTAAAGACGCAGCGTTAGAGCAAAGCCTGAAGCTACCAGGGTCTACAGAGTCCTGCCGAATGTTGACGCTCATCGTGGACTTCAGATTCACTCTCATGTGAGACGATTGGCTTGACTGAACTTGGGGACTGTCGTCCTGCTTGCACTGGTTGTTCTGGTGTCCATTCAGGTCGCGGATGAGGGTGCGGACACTAAGGCACTTGTGTTTGTGAGGATCTGAATCCGAGGCTTGGTTCTCATAAATAGGTTGGCTCGTTTCATCTCTTTCAGCTGGATTTATCTCGATATCCGATACGGTTCGATCCTCGTTTTCTCCAAAGGAACAAGACGTTGGAGGTCCAGCTTTGGCCAAAGCGAGGCGGGTGTGTCTGAAGGAGCTCAGGACTGTGTTTCTCTGCGACGGAGCGCCCACATCGCTGTTTTTGGCCTCTGGAGGGGCGATGGTAATGATTTCCTGGATGCTAGGGATGTGGGTCATGTCCTTTGGCAGATCAAAGCTCAACACCGAGCCCAACGAGAGGAATCTGCAGTGACCTTTGACCTGGTTCGCCGACACGGCGTACGGAGTGATGCTGTCTCCCAAACACTCCGTGTCGATATCAGTCAGCAGAGGATTCTTCACGTAGCCCTCCACCCCATCTCTTCTCTTCTCTGAGCTCTTCTTCCTTCGAGCCTCCTTCAGCGGCCATGTTTGCGTGTCGTACGTGATCGTCTCGCGGTCGTGGTGCATCGCCTGCTCGTCCACTCCCATGATTTTCTGTATCGTATGTCTGCGTACGTCTCTCTTCCTCTTCCTCTTCTTGCTCATCCTCTTCAGGCTGCTGAAAATTGAGCCTCCGCCGACGTTGGTTCCCGTTGTGGGGTAGAAGGTTACGTTGGTCGTTTGTGGTTCGGGCATTGAGGAGGACGGCGCAGGCGAGGCCGAGACTCTCTTTTGGAAGGGGAGGGTGATGCTCTCGTATACCGGGGCAACAGTCAGGTTATCCCCCACATGCAGGTAGGTACTTACCTGTAAAACAGCGCAGAAAACCATTTAAAATTGAAGTTATACACTGCCTCGAAAAAGTATTCATTCCTCTTTGGGTACTTTTCAATTTTGAGTATTTCACATTGCATTTCCTTGATCTGGAGAATTGTTACTTTTAATCGAATTATAAATCCAGTTAAACTTCAGGTTTTAAGGCAACAAAACAGAAAGAAGACCAGGAGGGGTGGATTCTTCTGTATGAATGCATGCATTTATGAGATTTATGTGTTACCTTCACATGGATGATGACATGAGGCAAAACTATTAACTCACACAGTCAAGTAAAACAACAGATGCACACAAAAATCAACATGTATAGAAGAAATTCCAAAGTCAGATAAAAGACGCGAACATCTTGATTAAATTAGCAGCCTTTGCAGAGCTTAATCAGAATCAGGTGTGGCTCATGCCGTCATCCGCAGCTGCAACGTCTTGACCTTTCAACTCTGTGACTAATCTCTTGTTTCTGTACAAACTCCAGACTGTAAATCACCTCGTTCGGTCTGGGGGCCTCTTCRACGAGGGTTCAGCAACGGGTCTCCGTCTCGGCGTTTGAGACCATTGGGAGCCATTTTGGAGCGAAGCGTTTCGCAGGAAGCGAAGGATGAGGTCAGCTTTTTCACACAATTATGGCAAAAGCGAGGGAAAGTCGAACACGACCAACTTCGCAGCAGAAGTACGAGGAGAAAGAGACAACCAGGAATAGACTCCAGGGTTGTAAAAGGTAGTAGTAGGTATTCATTTTGTAACAACTACCTAACACTACTTTGTTTTTCCCCAGTCTATTTCCTAAAAATCTCCTCTGCTTGTAACAATGAAATTACTTTTTGTCTTGGGTWAGGGTTAAATAACAAATAAATGCATACAGGTCAGCGTTGAGACAAAGAAGTAACAATTATCCAGTTACTAGATACCGCATAGCAGTAGCATATATGACCCCCACACAAATGCAAAGCACCAAAACTCAGAACTCACCAGAACACATTTATTGTTTTGGGTGGGGGTCTGATGGGGTGGGGGGCTCATTGGTGGGTCCGATGGATAGCCCTTCATCAGAGCTATACAACAAAAAATGTCTGAAGCTCCGAGGTTAAATAATTTTTGAGTTATATGCATTTTTGAATGTCCAGACACCCCCTTTTTAGATGGAGCCCCTTCCTCAAATATAGGGTCTATCATAAAACCATTGGCTGGTGCAGAGTAGGTCGGACACATCTACGCAATCAATCAATCAGTCAATCAACCATCAATTAATCAATCAATCAATAAATCAATCACCTTTATTTAACCAGATAAAACCCAATGAGATGAAGGTTAAACCCTGCCTTACATTTTCCTTTTTACTCTGTTGAAACTTAAGCCAACAGTTCATGCAAGTGCTCCTTTATAGCCCTTTACACCAATATCAATTAGAAAACATGCTTATTTTATTAATTTCTGGGGTTATTTTAAGCCCAAATGGCAGCAGCAGCTAGTTACTGTCATATCATTGCACATCTATGAATGTGCATTTTATTTATTTCAATTACAGACAAGACACCAACATAGGGAAGTTAAAGAAAGGCTGCACATTGTTGTGGGGTTAGAGAGAAAACACAACATGCAGTCCTGGTTTACACTTCACCATTTACCTCGTTCGCACTCTGCCGATAAACCTTTTTCTTTCGCTTTAAACTACCCAAAGTGTTTTCCAAAAGCCCCTGGCAGCGCCTCCAAAAGCTTTTACAGGGAGAGGGTTGAGGCAGAGAGGGCTAAAGGGAGAAAAATGAGGACAAAAGGAAAGACGTGAATGCCAAAAACAAGAGCGGAAACAGCCACAGTTAGAAGGACAGTTAGAGGGCAGATCCCAAGCAGAGAGAGGAAACTGTCCTGCCCCGAGATTCAAGAACAGCTGGAAATATCATGTTTATAGTGTCTGAAGGGAATTCTGGGATTTGTTTTAGGGGCTGAAATTGTTTCATTTAAACAAGTCTGGACCCCGTTTATCCTCGTATGCTAGTGTCGGGTGTGGCTCTCACCCTGTGGAGAGGCTCAGAAGTCTCCATCTTCAGGTCAGTCCTGGAGGGCAGGTCCAGCACCTGCACCTGGCTGTCCCCCGTGTTATTAAAGCTGAGTATGAGGTTGACTGCGCCCCCCGTCGTGGGGCTGTTGCCCTCCTTTAGCACCGTGATGTCTGCTTTGAGAGACTCGGCCCGAGGTCTGATCCTGTTCATGACCTCGTACCCATCCTCTGACCTCCCCTCGTTGTGCTGTTCAGGCACAGAGGATTGGGGGCGGCTACCTGTGGCTGCTTTTGGTGGATTTTCACGAATGCTGACAGTTTCTGACTCGGAGGGCTGCAGGTCCTCAAGTTCAGGTGGTGAAGTCTGTGCAGAACAGCAAAAAAAAAAAAAAAGCAAGACAGGTGATTGTTAGCATTTCCTGCCTCATCATATTAAATGGTGTAAAGTAGATGGTATTTATTCTTTTGGGGGGTCGTTAACACCATGAGACATGGATCAATGTGTGTTCAGGTGCTTCAGAAAAACATTTAAGCCTTAAACCACTGAAAATACCCCGCGGTTCTTTTGCTGTGGCGTGTATTTCCTTTGTTGGTTCAGACCAGGCAGGGTGGGATAAAAGCTCCACAGTCGGCGAGCTTTCAAACTGCATGAAGGCGTCACACAAACAGGGAACTGACAAAAGGTTGGGTGTGTGGAGGAGCATATTTAACTGCATCACTTCTCAGTTATAAACCATTTATTCTGGATGGTTTCTTACAAAAAGACAAGTGAGCCGCAAGAAATGTGCAACAAAACTGCTTAAAACCTCCCGAGACCCTGTGTCCTCATACGAGGACATTGCATTGTTGCATCTCTGCACCATGACACTTATTTTCTTTTCAGTTTTGACCCATTGACCTCATTATAGCAGCAAAATCAGCACCACATGATGACATTACACTGATTTCAATGAAAACGAGATGGTGAGGATCGTCATAAAAATGGTCAAGGACAGAAACCAAATCATGTTTTATGCTTGAAACTAGTGTATTTATGCACTGTTACCTCTTTAGCTTCATAAGGCATGCAAATTTGATACATTTTTGTAATTGTATCAAAGCACAATGTTGGTAAAGATGATTTCCTCATTCGAGGACATTGGGACTATATTTTGCAATTGATTGTGCCCAATCTGGGAATATAGCTATTGTAACCCCTAATTTATAGTAGATGTGGTTTCGCTGCAGTGTGCAGTTCGCCATAGTTTGCCGTCTGCTTCCCGAACAGAACAATACATTTTAACAGCATTTGTATAAAAATATATTCATATATTTATTAATATAGCTGGGATTTTGACAAAATTAGTCTGTCTTTGATGAATTGTTTTGAAAATATGGATGTTGTGCTTGTTCCTTTTCCTGTTGGTGCGACGTGATCTTTGTAGATCGACTCCGGCGCAGCTCCGGTGTCCGGCAAAAATAGGATCAAGTCTGATTTTGGCAGATTGCCTGTGTAAATACGCTCATTGATTATAATGGTTGAGTGTTTGCTGRGGAGGTCGGACRGGAGTGGAGTGGAACTGCGTGTAGTGTGGATTAGGGGTAAGTGGTATTTTTGTTCCTGCCATCATGTTACGTAAATCAGTTCTTCAACCTAAGGAGCAATCTAAATGTTGTCATTGATGATGATGATGATGATGATGATGATGATGATGATGCAGTTCACTGATCTTACTCTGGTAAAGGCTGCGTCGCACGGCAAGATAATCGTGCTGTTTTTTGCACTTCCGACAATCTTAAGGACGTCCAGATTATCGTGATGGCTCTAAAGATAATCTGAGTAGATATTCCTGCTGTGGGTAGTGAGTTAAGAGTGATCTAGTCGGCTTGGAAAGACATTGGGGCAGCTCCGACCTCAAATTGGGGATATTCAACATGTGTTTTTTTTTAGGCCCGATATCACATCGTATGTGGTGTTCACCTGAAAACAAACGAGCTTGCAGCCTGTTGTGAGCCAATCAGAAAGCGTGGTGACGTAAACACTGAGGAGAATCCAAAATACCGAAGACATAAAAAAACTGTCATGACTCACCACTCACCAGAAAGTCCGCTGGACCTTAAAAGTCCTGTGGAACTGGTTTTCCTCTGGTAAAAACAGTCCACAAACAATCAATATTTTTTCTTCCTCATCGCAAATGTTTATTTACTCTGAACTCACGTCTCTCTGGAGGTCCCGCGAGATTTTTCCTCTGACATAGGAATTCTCGCGATATTTTAGGAAGTCTCGCGTGATTTCACATCTGACATCTGAACGTTCATGAATGAAATATTTTTTTGTATGTGGTGTGTTGTCTTCTGCCGTGTGGCCGTACACCACACATTGTAGGAACCAAACCTGGTGTATCCATGATTTTTTATCCTCACGTGTGGGGTCTCTCAGTCTTTGAAAATCGGCCGACTGTTTTAAAATCTTGCGGTGCGACGCAGCCTTAAGCAAACGGCTGCTGTTTAGCCAAAATAACCAGAAAAATGTTACCACCAGAAAGGCTATCATGAAGTTTCTCAAGTTTTGCGTGGTGGCTCAGGTATTAGACCCAGTGTCCTCATATGAGGACATTGTTGTTGTTGTTGTTATTGCAAAAACCACTTTCTGTACCATGACAGAGTCTAGCTATACTTATTAGGTCCTACTAATCACATCTGTTGGAGAAAGAAAAAGCTTGGGTCTTGGACAGTGATAAAAAAGTTCACACTTGGGTCTTGGACAGTGATAAAAAAGTTCACACTTGGGTCTTGGACAGTGATAAAAAAGTTCACACTTGCTTGAACGACGTGCACAGTTACCTCAGAGTAAATGTTTTCTTGTGACGACGCCTCCCTCTGTTTGTGAAGCCTCGTCTGTTTCTGAGCCCTCCAGTGCACCGAGATCCATCCCAGCATGCTCCTCAGCTCCTCCATACGTTCTCTCACCTGCAACACGTCACCTGCGCGTTAAATCAACACGAGGCAAACGTAAACGGTGTTTTCAGGAGAGCGTCTCTGCTCACCATCTGCGTGAGGTGGTGGTCTTTGTCCAGCAGAGTCCTCCCTGCGACGTCCAGTTCATCAAACTCCTGAAACTTTTGCTCGATCTGAACGTCCAGCTCCGGTCCCTGGCTGTCTCTCCCAAGGTGCAGAGTGGCGTCGGAGAAAATGCGTGACCTCGTGTCTTCTGTCCACGATCTGTTCGGTGGGGGAGTGAAGAGGAGGTGGTGTCAGCAGACAAGAAGCAGGACTCAAGACAAAACATAAAATCCATGAGAATCACCAGACTCTGCCTCGTAGGAAACACATTTATCTCCCTGATACACCCAGGAAACTTCTACACATCCTAAATCAGGCCTCTCCCCTGGAACGCTGGCGTTTTGCTTCCTTTAGCTAACGGTTCTGCATCGTTTTGTTTTAGCTTCTTTAGCCTTTTTTAGCAATCAGCTCCAGTTCAGGAGTCAAAACAAAGATCTGAGATGAGTTGGAGACACTCAGGACCAATTCAGACGAGTTCTGACAAAAACATTCGGGAGCCCCCGGTCACAGCCAGGTGATTTACTGTGAAGTGTAAAATTAAATGTTCGCATTAGTCACAAACACATTTTCATATTCATCTCACTTTCTGAGTGTAAAATTCTAGTTACAAAAATTTCATTAACATTTTATTGTTATTTAGCTCACTATTCTTACATTTTACTAATTTTTACTAAATGTTAAATCTAAATATAAAAGTTAAATCTTTAACGTTTCGGCTAAATGTTGATGTTTACACTTAGGTATTTCAGAACAGAACACAGCCTTTGCTGTTGGCGTGCGGCTTTTGTGATGACATCATCATCTTGAGACAAAAGCAGATTCTAATGCTGCTAATGCTGCTAACACTGCTATTGGTGCTAATGCTGCTAACACTGCTGATGCTGCTAACACTGCTAATGCTGCTAACAATGCTATTGGTGCTAACGCTGCTAATGCTGTTAACACTGCTAATGCTGCTAACACTGCTAATGCCACTAATGCTGCTAATACTGCTGATGCTGCTAACGCTGTTAACACTGCTGATGCTGCTAACACTGCTAATGTTGCTAACACTGCTAATGCTGCTAACACTGCTAATGCCGCTAATGCCGCTAACGCTGCTGAAGCTACTGATGCTGCTAATGCTGCTAAAGCTGCTAACGCTGCTAACGCTTCCCTGCAAGACATCAAACTTGCAGTTGTGGTCAGTGTCATAGCTGTATTTCAAACTTCCGGACCACAGGTACCATTCATGTTGATTTTAATGAACACATTTTGAATTTCAAATTTTAAATGCAGTCTTTAGGAGCATTAGCACAGTTAGCTGTGTTAGCTGCATTAGCAGAGTTAGCYTTTGCTTTTGTCACAGGATGATGACGTCCCAACAAAAGCCATTCAAATTAAACTAAGATTTAGATCAATTATGACTTAGAGAAGTTTGTTGTTAATGCCACTTTAGATTCAACAAGTTGAACCTCAACGTCAAAAAGGTTAAGAAACCTTGAGCTAAATAACAATAAAATAACAATTTTTAATGAGGATTTTACATTCAGTACGTGAGCTAAATAATGAAAATGTGTTATTTTACATAATTTACCACCTTTATTGCACATCGCAGACACACATCCCTCTTACATCACAGCGAGGTAGCTCCTGAAGAAGTCCCGGAGCTGCACAAACTCCCGCAGATGTGATTTGTTTTCCGTCACGCTCTTTTCCAGCTCGTTCCGGGCCTCCAGCGTGGCTTGGATCTTGGACCTGAACACGCGCACCCTCTCCGGGCACAGCTCCTCCAAGCGGGACGCCAGGTCCTCCACCTCCTTCAGGTCCTCCGTTATGACCTCACAGTCCACCTGCGGAGAATCACAGCAACAATCCATCACCTCTCGCCCGTTCTCGTGTCTCTATGACCTCATGCTCGGAGCTTTGTGCATATTATTCTTCTTCCAGAGGCCCACATGGCGTACATATGTGCTGCCACGCTGCAGCCAGCCCGGCCTCCACCACTTCTTTCACCTTTTTGAAGAGGCGGTAATTAATAGGACTCTCTGGGAGCCGTGATGTTTGAGAACACCACGCTGTGGATGCCTGGCTGCTGACGCCACGCTTATTTCGGTTTGGGAGATTAGCTCATTCCTGCCTTTCGGTTGTTCCCAGTCCAGACAGCTGGGAGCTTGCATGTGTGTTTGTTTGTGTGTGTGTGTGATAAACACAACACAGACCAAACTTCAGCCTCTTCACACATCTATCAACCCTGAAAGCTCAGAACCACGCACAGGAACACTTTAAATTCCTGTTTTTCATGTCAATAATGGTGAGAACTGGCTCTGAATGAACTAAATTAATCACTTTTTACACCACAATCACGGCTTGAGCTAGCGACGTCTTCTTCTCACCTCCAGGTGGTCCTGCCTCTCCTGCAGAGCCTCCAGGCTGCAGCGGTCCGGCTCACACTGCACGGCCAGGTCCGTCTGCTCCTCCAGGATCTCCAGGCTCAGCTCCTTGCTGCTGCACAAGCTCTTCTCCACTCGTACCAGAAGGCTGGAGTGCTGAAGAGACAAAGTTGTCACAAGGTTTGACTCTKATTAGAGCGTTGCACCCTGCAGTAGAGCTGGCCAGAGTTTGGTGATAACGATACACGACACGATACGATATATTGCGATATGTTGTGATAATGTAATTAAGGTGATATATCGCCATTTTTTTCTCCAAAATATTCTTTAAAAAAAACTCTGTATYAAGAGCATGTATAAAATCTGATCAAAAGAGCTGGCATGAATTTGGTGATAACGATACATATCACGATACAATATATCGCGATATTTTGCGATAATGTAATTAAGGCGATAGCAATTATTTCTCTGAAAATATTCAACTTTTAAAAACTCTGTATAAAGAGCACGTATAAAATCTGWTTAAAAGAGCTGGCAAGAATTTGGTGATAACGATACACAACACGATGTGATATATTGCGATACTGCAAGCAAGGCGAGGTATCACCATTTTTTTCTTTAAAATATTCAAATTTTTAAAAACTCAGTATAAAGACCACACCATGCATAAAATCTGATTAAAAGAGCTGGCAAGAATTTGGTGATAACGATACATATCACGATACAATACATCGCGATATGTTTCGATAATGTAATTAAGGCGATAGCAATTTCTTTCTCTTAAAATATTCAAACTTTTAAAAACTCTGTATAAAGAGCATGTATAAAATCTGGCTAAAAGAGCTGGCTTGAATTTGGTGATAATAACGATACACATCACGATACGATATATCGTGATATGTTGCAATAATGTAACTAAGGCGATAGATCACCATTTTTATTCTCTAAAATATTCTTATTTTTAAAAACAGTATAAAGAGCACACCATGCACAAAATCTGTTTTAAGAAGCTGGCATGAATTTGGTGATAATGATAAATATCACGATAAGATATATCGCGWTATTGCAAGCAAGGTGATATGTCACCATTGTTTTCTCTAAAAGATTCTAATAAAACCATGCATAAAATCTGATTAAATTTAGTTTATTTTTATGCCATCAGAAAAACACTGAACAACTTTAAGAACTGCATTAGTCTTTCACATTTCTTCTTGCAACAACCAACCATTAAGCCTTATTAAAAATCAGTACAWTATCAGGAAATTAAATATCGTGATATTTCAGTGCAGAGGTGTCAAACTCGACAAGTGGGCCAAATTTCTAAACTTGGTCCTAGCCAAGGGCCAATTTCTGTTAGTATTTACTGAAAAACTGTTATAGTCAGTCCTTTTTATTTACATAGCGCCAAGTTACAACAAACGTCTCAGGGCACTGTACACAAAAAAACAGTCTTAAGGTCCTGTCACACTATAATGTTTTAGACAACTTATGCCAACTTATAAACATTTTAAAGACATCGACGTTGAAGACGGAATTTAAAAAATCAACTGGAAACCTCTTTTAGACAAGTACATACTGTAATGTCAACAATTTGATCAATATATAACATTTCTTTGTAATTTAGATGTTAAAACAAGACGAGAATACAGAAAAAGATAAAGACTCTCTGTTGCTATTTTCGCACCAAAATCAAAGATTACTGAAAAATTCTAACTGAATTGTCTTTGTTTGAAAGTTGGCCAGTTGTCATGAGCAGAATACGCTAAATACAATGAGAAAAAAGAGAAACCATAAACCTGTTTCACATTTCAGGAATTACCTTTGGGGCCAGATAAAATGTTAAGGWGGGCCAAGATTGGGCCCATGGGCCTTGAGTTTGACACGTTTTAAAGAGAGTATCAAGATTTTCTTACATCCCTACTCTGCAGTGGATCATGATCTTTCCAACCTGAGGCACGTCCGCTGTGTGAAACCTCGACACGAGACTAAACCAAATCCAGACTTCAGTTCTCGTTGAAGGAAAGAGCTCGTCGTCTCCTCACCTTGCTCAGCAGCTCCTGGACGGCCTGATCGTGGCTTCGCGATCGACCCCGTTCCCTCGCCGTGTCGTTCAGCATCTCCACGGCCTCTCGGAGTTCCTCCACCGGGTCGCCCARGATCTCTACCAGGACCTCACCACCGCAGCCGCCCTGGGGTCCGAGCAAAGCAGGGTCTGAGGAGACGTCTCTGTGGAGAGGCTAAGAAACCGTTTAAAGAGATGAGACAAGTGAGGCGACAAACCCTCAACTGAGACGAGTTTCATCCTGAAGGATCACCACGTAACTGTCGACTGGTAAATATTTATTATTATTTCAGAAATAATTAATAAACTTTATTACTAGTTGGTCATTTTTCAACTAGCTAAAAAAGTGTATGATATTGACGGATTCAGGTCAAAGTTACTTAGAAATTATCTTTTTTCCTTATAAATCATCTGCTGTTTTGCATGATTATTGATTGAATTAGCATTTTRTGCAAGAATGCAGTGTGAACGGCTAAAAAAATCTGAAATTAGCTTAAAAAGGTAACTGAAATTGCTGGGTTTTGCACAAAGGAACAGAAAGAGCATGTTTGCTCACAAAAAGGTGAATTTAGCTGGGAAAACATTAGCTCAAATTAGCTAAAAAGAAGCTAAAAACATGGAAAATAGCTCAAGTTAGCAGAAAGTAGCTGAAAGAAGCACAAAAAGCTTAAAATAGCGAAAAGAAGTTAAAGAATCACAAACAGGTTGAAAGTAACAGAATAGCAGAAAAGGTCAATATGATGGCTAAAAAAGCACAAAAAATGCTCAAATCAGCTAAATAGAAGCTGAAATTAGAKCAAAGGAGTTAAAAAAGCAGAACTAGAACAAAAYGTAAAAATATCTTTAAACATTCTGAACAGCTTTAAGAATGTTGAAGACACCTAAATAAATTTTCAATGAGATAAAAAATGTCAGAAAAAGCTAAATATCTCAAAAAGTATAAATTGTGTGTAGAAATGTACTTACAATATGTATAAAAACATATGAATGCAAATATGTATGTATTACAAAAATTGGATGCTCTAGGCCCTTTAATACGTCGTTGAAGCCCTCGCGGGCCACATAAAATGCAGTGGAGGGCCACATTTGGCCCACGAGGCTRGAGTTTGAAACACGTGCTTTAAAAGTTTTATCAAATGTGTTTTTTATGATGTAATTTTTTGTGTCCAAGAAACATCACTCAGAATAATCTAAGGAAACATCAGATTCTTCTCTGCATTCTGTGTTTTGAGCCCCTGTGTCATCTGGAGCATTGGCTCTAGATGTTCCGCTATGACATCACTTCCTGTTACCTCACATGCAAATATCTCAAGAAGCGTTCATCTCAGAGGGGTTGCATTTTATTTTCAAAATGTTATCAGTGRTATCTTTCCAAAATTACATCAAAATTTATAAGAAAAATTCGGTGTCACAGGTGAGTCACTCACCTGTCCGAGACTAAACGGACTCCCCTCCAGCTCCTGGCTCTCCTCCAGCTCCACGCGCTCCAGGAACTCGGTCAGCATGCGCGTGTCCCTCAGCTCAGAATTCTGCTGGCTCAGGGCGCTCAGCACGCAGTGGTACCTGAAAAAAAAACACACCAACACAGGTGTGAGCTCCTCTCTTCTTTTTCTATCTGCACTCCTGGAAACATTAAACTGGGACAAAGTTTCCGTCTCTTTATTTTCGTTGGTCGGCTCTCYGTGCTTTGGTTTATAGACCCGGTCCGGTCCAGCAGCCATCAGCACACGGGTTTACTGAAAGTCCGTGGCATGAACGGGTGAGTTGCGTGTCAGGACTGTTGGGCACACYAACAAAACCCAAGCCGTGCCTCTTAACGAGCGCACGGAGAGGACTTTTTATTTCGCCAGTTTGGACCAAATGTCGGCCGGTGAGACCCACGACCGGTTCTGTTTTTCTGCTTTATTGGGTGAAACTGGAACTTTTCCGAACAAACTCTTCCGTGACCTCTCGGAAACTGTGACGCTTACTTTCTCTCCACCTCGTCCACGCGCGCCGGCAGCCCCTGGATGTGCGGGTGCGCGTGGCCGTGGAGGCGGTCCGCCTCCTGCCTCAGGGCGGCCAGCTCCGGCCCGCGGGCCGCCACCTCCTTCTCCAGCAGGCAGCTCTCCCGCTCCGCCGCCCTCATGGTCTCGGGGTCGCCGGCTAACGCAGACGCCTTCATGGAGAGCTCCACGGACTCCAGCCAGGCCTCCAGGCTGCCCAGGGCTTGGAGCACTTTCACAATCTGCCCTCCGACAGAAAACAAACGTTTCAGAGCAGAAACAAGAAAAACATTCATGGAGACTTTTGAACTTATCCCTTCAATCAAATCCTAACTATGACTGCAACATAAAAGCTCTAAAAATGGTAGAAATTGTTCAGAATGTGGGACTATAAATTTCTCCCAGAACAGTTTGACCCAAGAGGGAAAKTCCGCTGGTGTTTTATGGACCTCACCCTGAAGCCCAGCTTCTCCGAGGCCTGCAGGAACGCAGCGTTCCTCTGGTGCCTCCTCCTCAGCTCTTCCCACAGGACCTCCAGCTGGCCGAGGAACTCCTCGATGCTCGAGCTGCCCGGGTGCTGAGCGCGGACCAGCCCGTGGCCCTCCTGAGGAACGGGGGGGGGGAGTTCAGCTCATCTTAGTGGAACTTTTGGGTTGACGTGGTTTTCCCCTAGTTTGAATGCTGACTCAGCATTTTTTTTTCTGCTTGTGTTAATTCAAAACCTTCAGCTTGTTTAGAAAACGGGTTTTATGATTTTTGGTCTTTGTAGCTTTAATCATTTTTTTAAAATATTTATTTACAAAACTTTTCTATATTGAAATACATGATCTCTTCATTTCCTTCAGAAACATTCTTCATCATGCTGCCTTTATTTGGTCTCCTATTGCTGCCTTTAGCTAGCCTCTTGCTACTTTTAGCTACAATATGCTGCTTTTAGCTAGTCTTTTGTTATTTTTAGCCTCTAMTTAGCCTTTTGCTATTTTTTAACTAAACATCTGATGCTTTTGGCAACAATTTTCGGCTTTTAGCTAGCCCTTTATTATTATGAGCGTCTAGCTAGCATTTTCATACTTTTAGCCTCCAGCTAACCTTTTGCTCCTTTTAGCTAAACCTGTCGTCTTTAGCTTCTGTTTTGCTGCTTTTAGCTAGTCTTTGCTACTCTTAGCTAAACCTCTGATGTTTTCAATCACAAAATGCTGCTTTTAGCAAGCCTTTTGATATTTTAGACTCTAGTTAGCCTTTAGCTACTTTTAGCTAAACCTTTGACACTATCCATTTTGGTGCTTTTAGCTAACCATTCCCTATATTTYGCCTCAAGCTAACCTTTTGATACTTTTAGCTTTAAGCAGATATTTTTGCTGCTCTTAGCTAGCCTTTTGGTATTTTTAGCCTCTAGCTAGCCTTTTGCTACTTTTAGCTAAACCTCTGCTTTTAGCTTCGATTTTGCTGCTTTTAGCTAGCCCTTTGATATTTATATCCTTTAGCTAGACCTTTGCTATAATAAGCTAAACTTCTAATGCTTTTGGTCCCAATTTACTGCTTWTAGCTAGTCTTTTGTTGTTGCATCTAGCTAGCATTTTGATACTTTTATATAAACCTCTGATGCTTTTAGCTACCATTTTGCTGCTCTTAACTTGTCTTTTCATATTTTTAGCCTCTAGCTGGTCTTTTAATACTTTTAGCATTAAGCAAAATGTTTTAGCTATTTTTGTTGCTTTTGACTTTTAGCTAGCCTTTTGCTACATTCGGCTTTTAGCTTTTTTTTTTGTTTCTTTTTGCTTTTTATCTAACAGTTAGGGCATTTAAAAATTTTAGCTAGTGTTTAAGCATTTGCTTCTTTCAGCATGTAAATAGCTACGTTTAGCTTTAACAACTAAGTTTCAGCTTCTTCAGCATGTTTCAGCAGTCATTCAGCAGTTTCTCTGGTTCATTATTTTTATCTTATTTTATATCATTATTAATATTATTATTTATGTTTAATTTATTTTTATATTTTGTAAGTTATTCACAACARGTTATTTAAGAATCGTTGACTTGGGCTTACCCTCTTGACCACCTCGATCCTGGCTCGGTTGTTGAGGATTTCCTGTTGGAGGGCGTGCTGACACCCCCTGGCCGCCTCCAGACCCTTGGAGCTGGCTATGGAGCACACCTGAGTGGCCATGGTCACGTTGTCTTTGAGCCAAGACAAAGTCTGAGAGACAAAGAGGATGTGAGCAGCTAAAATGCTGAATCAGAGTGGATCATGTAACAAAACATCAGTATTTGGTCATCAAAGATTATCAATCCCAAGCTGCAGTTGAGTTTTAGAGAACCTAATCAGTGACGTCGTGGTTTAATTTAAAGTTTGTACAAAAATAAATCTCAATATTTGGTGTCAGGTTCAGCTGTTGGACCTTGTCAGCAGACACGGTGAACTTCTGAAGCTGCAGGTGGTTCTGTGGACCAGCGGGGGTCCTGGGCTTTCTGCTGCAAACAAAACATAGCTTAACTCCAGCTGTGCTTTACATTAAATCTAAAAGTCAGGTTGAATTATTACCTTTCCTCCTTCAGCTGATATCTGGTGACGGCCTCTGGTGATGAGGTGTGGCTCGTCGGGTTCTGCTCCCGGCTTCGGCTGCTCTGTGTTTGTGGGCTTCTCACGCACTCAACAGCACTCTGTGAACAAAACAAAACCTTTTACCTTTTCCTAAGCCTGGATGATTAAACACCCCAGATAGCAGAGTTGTTGTTGAAGCTTTCTGTGTGTAAATCTTTAGGTGAGATTCAGGAGGAGGTGTTTTCTGATCTCTGTCTGCAGTGAAGAACTTTCACTTTGCACCAAACCCATCTGGTCTGCAGCTCCAGCATCTGGCTCCAGTTAACCAGAGAAAACTGACCGAAGGCAACAAGAGGCCCTACAACTGCTAACCCGTGCTGTACACATGCAAACTGTGTGAATCCTACAGTTCATTAACCTGCGGATCCAGCAGGGGCGGAGCTAAACTTTTTGGCAAGGGGTGGCCAAGGTAGGGGGGGGCACAAACAAATAAAAAAATAATAATTCTGGACTTGAACGTTRTAGCTGGTCGATACAGCTAATTGGATGAAATTGGGAAATATTAAGCTAAATTTTTCGTAACTGTAGCTAAGAATGATCCAAATAGCATGCTGAATGCTTGTCACAATCAACCATTTTTAGCTGGATAATGTAGAAGTAACTAAAAACAARCTTTACCAAACTCTAAATGCTKATTAAAAATTCAAAATGGCCACCACAGCTAATGTTAAAAAGCTGTAATGCAGCGATTTTAAGACTMGAGATGAAATTTGTTGTAACGAATTACYATTACAAATGTTAATTCCAAATTAAGCTAACCACTAATGCTGATGCTAATTTTAAAAAGGGCTATAATTCAGCCCTTTTTAAACATACACAACTAAAAATGTATACTCACCGGCCACTTTATTAGGTACACCACGCTAGTAACGGGTTGGACCCCCTTTCGCCTTCAGAACTGCCTCAATTCTTCGTGGCATAGATTCAACAAGGTGCTGGAAGCATTCCTCAGAGATTTTGGTCCATATTGACA